TAGCATCAGAACGCGATAGACAGAGAGAGTTGTTAGCGTCAGAAACACCTGAGCGTCAGATTGTAATAAATTATCAGGTAAAAAACCATGTAATAATGATGCACTAAATGAATTAAATAGAATGAGGAATATTCGGTAGGCATTTCCGTTAAATACTAAAAACTAGAAAATAAAAAATCGGTAAAAAAACTTTTAAGTTAAACGGTTTTATCTTATGTGCACTGAAAACTAGAAAATAATAATAACAATTAGGTATTTTGAACTTTTAGTTCAGAAATATTTTAGTACTAGGCAGAATAGCTTTTAGGCATATTAGACTAAAATTAACTATTGCTGTAATACTTTCTTCTATACTAAGTGTGGATTGCATCGACTTACTATAATCGTAACTGGAAATTTTGACAATCAATAACCAGCCGTGGCGGCTTCACCAGCGAACGCCGAGCTCATGATCTACCAACTATAAAGATATGCTTTGCCATAGGTAAGATTTCAGAGGGACCCCACGTTTTTATTTTAGTCTAATATGCCTAAAAGCTATTCTGCCTAGTACTAAAATATTTCTGAATTAGAAGTTCAAAATACCTAATTGTTATTATTATTTTCTAGTTTTCAGTGCACATAAGATAAAACCGTTTAACTTAAAAGTTTTTTTACCGATTTTTTAACTTTTGAAAATATCACTTAAACCATTCGATTTAATTAATTTTGATGTGTTTGCTTTCATTTGACGATACCATACATCGGAAACTGTGCTACTTAATAATATTTGACATTAGTTTCCAAGTTAACATTTATAGATGTATAAAATGAGATTATATCAAATCTGGGAATTACAAAATTTTCGTTTAACATTTCTAAATCAAAACTTCATAGTTCGGAAATTGTTGAATTTAGGTACATAATCGTTATACACATAATGACTCTGTATATTAGATCTAATTTTTGGCTATTTTTACCTTACTTTCTGGGAGAGAAGTAAAGACATATTTCCTCACAAAAAAAATAAAGAAGATTATTAATCTTTTATACTTTATTATACCCATAGAGGTCATTATACTAACTATATATTAACAATATGCTATTAATATTCCAGCTCTCGTAGGAAAGTACTATTTTTACTACAAACTGCAAGGTAGTTTACCTAGAACGTAAATATTACACAAAAATTCATATTAAAAATTAGCGTGCATATTTAACCTGGGAGTCCCCTTAAGCCATGTCTACGCATAACAATTTAACGTCAGTCTTGCCTGTTCAGTCAAAACCTCAAGTAAAACCTTGTCTGTAGACGAAAAAATTGGCGCCGGGAGGCACGTAAATATGTTAATAAAAAGTTGGTAGGCAGTTCCTTTAGTTTCAAAGTAAAGGAATTTTTCCATTTTTTTTATCTTAAAAACTGCGACTTTGACTGATTTTGATGTTATTACAAATTTTGTTGCAAATATTATTCCTAATCTTAAATTGAAAACCGCGTTTTCAATTTAACCTCCTCCCATACCCCCTTACCAACCCCCCACCCCCACCAAAAACCAAACTAATGGCCAGATGTTTGGGTGCCACAGTATTTTTGTGCCAAATTTGGTTAAAATCAGTTTAGCGGTTTTTGAGTTATCGTGTTACAGACGGACAGACGGACAGACGGACAGACGGACAGACGGACAGACGGACAGACGGACAGACGGACAGACGGACAGACGGACAGACGGACAGACGGACAGACGGACAGACGGACAGACGGACAGACGGACAGACGGACAGACAGACACCATGAAAATATTTTGTATTTAGGTCATTTATGACCCAAATAACTCATTTTGAGTGACATTAAAAAAACTTTTTTTTGCCGATCTTAATAGCCTACCTACTAAAAAATTATGAAAAAATGTCTTTGCAATATAAAAATAATTATTTTGAATCTATTTTGCTCACATTATTAAAATATTGGTAAGCGCCCAAATATATGTATATTTTATATTTTATGTGTCCTGTATTGTTAGGATAGAGTGCTATAATTTTTTAATTATTTTTTGCACTCTCCATCTTAAGAAACATATTTTTTTTCTCATTTTAATTCTATATATTTTTTTCCACATTTTCACAAATAAAATTTCACAATTAAAAAAAAAACATCAACTAAATTAGAAGAAAATTAAAGGGAAATAAGTTATAACATATATTAACCAAAACAAATAATGTGAATATCGATGTACCTATCTCGCTTCAGGTGAATGTAATGTGATCTGATACAAATTAAAACTGACTTGGCATTTTATATTATTGTTCTAAACAATGACAATTTTTACTCATTTATCAAAAACTCTAATTATACCACTTAAAAATTTTATGATATTTTATGTTAATATTTGTTATTCATAAATTTGGCAAATAAAATATGTAGTTAAGAATACTATTATATATCTGTAGCTTTTTTCAGTTTTCTTGAACAATAAAAATGTTTCACACTTACTATGAAAGAAGAACTGAAATATTTGACCAGATATTTAATATACACATGTCCAAAAGATATATCAATTATTTCTTATATATTTTATGTATTTTTTTAGGCTTAGCGACTTCCTAATAGTTTTTGAGTATTATTATTTTATTTATAGTCAAACGGTTGGACTTAGAGACATATACCCCTTGTACATAAGCTGCACCCATATCAAAACGTTAAACATTGATGGTGAAATTTGTTTTATGTAACTACAAAGTTATTGAAATTTATTTTCATAGGCATTATTTGCTTTTTACCTGTGGTCAATTTAAACGGTACTATACTCCTAATATCCCAAAATTGTGTCAAGTATACGCAACCTCGCGCAACCATGTATATTATAAAATGTAATTATACAGGGTTGTTCACCACATACGACACGGAGTATTGTAGCTAAACGATGAGATTTTTACAAATTGTAAGTTTTGGGTTCGATGAAGGACTATTAGAGTACAATTTAAAAATAATTTTACAAGATACATAGTGTCCCAAATAAGTAAAAAATATCAAAGTTGTATTTTTTTAAATGGAACACCCTGTATATTATTACATTTTTAGTTTCTACGATTAAAATAAAGGTAAATTTGATTAAGGTTTATTATACTTAAACCTTACCGTTTTTGAAATATTTTCAATTTTGTGAAATTGCAGTAAAAATTTTAAGGCTTCATTTCTCCAAGGGTATCAAAGTTTTTAATACTAAATATTTACTGAAGTTTATTTACTGATCAGTTATTGTGTTGCAATAATAAAAATAATACTACCTTATACAGAGTGTCTAAAAATGTATTTTAAATAATTATTAGCTTCAAACGGCAATAACTTGTTCAATTTAAATGGAACACCCTGTATATTTTACGAGAATCAGATGCACAATTTAATTGTCTATCAAATTATATTATATCATTTTTTACCTATCTCTTTAAGTTTCCGTAGAAAATGCATTTTCTTGTAATTTAGAACTTATTTATCAATATACCCATGGACTATTGACATTTTAGATTATTTTTAAAGATGTATCAAATTTTTAAAGAGTACAGATACTAATATTGTCGATATAATTCGTTTATTTCATTAAAAAATAAAAAAAAACTGTTCAAATATTTGTTAAAGAGGACCAATTAATATGATCCAGTATTCAAACTACATTAACTGACTGTTTGCATTGATTAATAATAATTGCTCCAAATACTAAAAAACTGAATTTTGTATGGGCATTAGACAGTGTGATAAAAAGTAACACCTTAAAAATGATATTTCATTTTTTAATAAATGCTTATTTATAACAACAGAGACTTTAATTTGATAACTTATTATTATATTAATTTCTGACTCAAATCCACATTTATTTATAATAATTTATTAACGAACACAATTAAGTATGTAATTAATTAGTATATGGGCGGAAATAATGGTGTTCTATTTAATTAATGGTATACTCTTTTATAAAGATTTAAATAGTTTTCTTTTTGCATACAAATGGGCTAGTAATATTATCGTTTTGCTAAAAACGATAATATTACTAGTCTGTACATTTTATACATTTGTTGCTTTAAAAACAATCTAAAATGTCAATATTCCATGGATATATTGATAAATGAGGTCTAAATTATAAGAAAATGCATTTTCTACGAAAACTTGAAGGGATCGGTAAAAAATGGTATAATACAATTTGATAGACAATTTAATTGTGCATCTGATTCTCCTAAAATATACGGGGCATTCCATTTAAATTAAAGAAGTTATTGCCGTTTGAAGCTAATAATTATTTAAAATAAATTTTTAGACACTCTGTATAAGGTAGTATTATTTTTATTATTGCAACACAATAACTGATCAGTAAATAAACTTCATTAAATATTTAGTATTAAAAACATTGATACCCTTGGAGAAATGAAGCTTTAAAATTTTTACTGCAATTTCACAAAATTGAAAATATTTCAAAAACGGTAAGGTTTAAGTATAATAAACCTTAATCAAATTTACCTTTATTTTAATCGTAGAAACTAAAAATGTAATAGTATACAGGGTGTTCCATTTAAAAAAATACAACTTTGATATTTTTTATTTATTTGGGACACTCTGTATCTTGTAAAAATATTTTTAAATTGTAGCGCTAATAGTCCTTCAACGAACCCCAAACTTACAATTTGTAAAAATCTCATCGTTTAGCTACAATACTCCGTGTCGTATGTGGTGAACAACCCTGTATACCGGTATATTATAAAATGTAATTAATTGATCCTTAGTGGCAAAAAAATATTTTAACGTTTTTAAATTAAACATCTTCAAAACCCTTTAAATATAAAAGTGTATTATTTTCGAAAAACAAAATAAAAATATTTACTAGTTTTAAGTTTTGAGCAACACTACGACAAATATTATATAAATAAAAAATCATTAAACATAAATTATCTAATAATTTAGTACTGGTTTTTTCAATTAATACTATTCTCTAAAATAACTACCTTATTAAAAATAACAAATAAAAAATACTTACGGAGTTTTCATATTTGCGTCCAACAGTATTTGTCAAACAATTTACGAATATTTTTACTATTTTAACTTTATTAAAAAACAATTTGTTAATAACATGTAACACTGGCAATATTACTCTATAATATTCGTTTATTATGAAATTATTCCAAATAAAAAAGTTACGCTTTAGCAATCACGAATTAGGCACAAGGTAAATTATGCGTTCAGAATTATTGAGATTTTTTGAACGTGAAAAAAATTAGGATTCTTTTGCTGACAGGAAAATTACCTTTATTTTTGTTATTGAATTGTATGGCGCGGGTAACTCATTAATCGATGGTTTATGTTATTTTTTCAAAAAATTTTAGACATATGAACGGAGAAATAAAAGAGAAATGAGTACCGCTACGCGCGGACGCTTTTTAGCGACTGATAAACGCGCGAAGGCGAACTTGAAGCTCGCGTATGAATATGTAATTCAAACTTGATACTGCAGATTACCAAGGATAAAAAAGGATTAATTGTAGAGACAATTTAGATTTACGTTGTCAATATACTAATTATTGTATAAATCAAATACCGCGCGTAAATGAATAAGTAAAGAAAAAAATCAAGAGGTTAATTCCTTTTTGAAACATAAAGTGGATTTTGCGTATCATTTTAAAAAAAATGTTCATGTACAGGGTTAATCAAAATCACAATATTATCAAATTTAAAATAATAATATATACGCTTGTGGGGGCTTTATTTCTTGTAAAAACATGCGCATTTGCGGCGGATACAGAGGTTTTTGTGTTAAAAATGGCGCTATAATAAAAGCATATTCGAGATTATATTTTATTTTGGCTCCCCTAAAATAAAATCCTATATCCGCCCCTGAGTATCTGAACTGAACAACAAAGAGGAAATGTGATATACAGGGTTCGGCAACAGTGCGTCGGGCATCTATAGATCCTAGAATAAAAAAACTTGAGAATTTTGTTTAATTGCAAACCTAAAGTATGTACGAATATGTATTTCAGAAAAATATTTTAACTTCTATAGGGTGGCTTAAAAAAATCTGAGGGGATCGGGATGATTTTTTTGAGTTGAACACCCTGTATATTATGTCATTTTTTGCTTTTTTTCACATACTTTACATAATCCTAAGATATGAGTAAATATATGTCGATAAATTTGAAAGATATTAAATAAATAAAAAATATACGGGGTGGTCCAAACTGTATTCCGGAAACTTTAGCAGCATATTCTGCAGGAAAAAATAAGTAAAAAAGTTCGTATAAATGTATGTCCTAAAATGATTAGTTTCGGAGATACAGGGTGTAGAAGTTTCAATTTTATTTAGATTTTTTCCATATAATTTCTGATGTAACGTCAATATTTGGATGAAAATGGGTGTCTGGGAGTTCTTTGACATAAAAAATTTGATTTTGATGTCAATATGACTCCTACTTGTAGAGGGCGCCACCTACATATTTTTAACTGGTTTGAAGAGTAATATCTTTTCGTCCGTACCTGTATAAAACTAGTGAGTTAAAAAAATTACATTTACGACGTTTTATACGTAAAAAAGGTCTCTTGGTAAAAATCGCTAAGAGTAATTTTTCTCGAGATATTTGGAATCGACATTACCAATACCAGGCATCATTGACATAAATTAAACATGTTGACTAAATAGTTATTCGACTGAAATCATAAATTTGAAATGTTTTGTGCCAAAAATTCAAAAGAAACTGTTTTATCTTCATTTTATCGAAGAAAAAATTATGATTAGTTTAAAAAAAGAAAAAGTTCCCAAATTTCTCATTTCAGTCAAATTACTATCTGCTCAACATGTTTATTTTTAGTCAATAATGACATGTATTCACTATTTCCATTCTAAATATCTTGAAAACGGTTGCTCGTAGCTATTTTTACTAAGAGACATTTTTTACGTAGAAAATCACGGAAATGTATATTTTTTTACTCAGTAGTTTTATACAGGTATGGACAAAAAGTTATTACTCTTCAAAACAGTTAAAACACATGTAGGCGGCGCCCTCTACAAATAGCAGTCATATTCACACCTAAATCAAATTTCTCATGTCAAAAAACTCCCAGACACCAATTTTCATCCAAATATTGACGTTGCTTCAGAAATTATTTGTAAAAAATTGAAATAAAAATGAAACTACTACACCCTGTATCTCTGAAACTAAGCATTTTAGGACATACATTTACATGAACTTTTTTACTTATTTTTATCAGTAAAATATGTTGCCAAAGTTTCCGGAATACAGTTCGGACCACCCTGTATATTTTCAACCTTCCTTAAAAAAATATTTCAAATACTAGAACTGTCCTTACTTACATTGCTATAAATATCGTAATTTTAAATCATACAGGGTATTCAAAATTCTACGGCAAACCTTCTAGAATATAAAATAATTTTTCTTCGTTTTTTTTTAATGGAATACCCAGTATATTATTTTTTTAGATGGAGAGCTAAAAAATGAAAATTTTTTGTATTTAAAGTATTTCAAAATTTTTAATGGTTTCGCAGATACACGCAGTATGATTTCATATGGCTCTTTCAAGGGTAAAATACGAGAGAAAAATCATTGGGTGGCTGAAATAAAACTTACTGAGGAGAATGCCATATGAAATATAAAACCTCGAATATCTGCGAAACCGTTAAAAATTTTGAAATACTCTAAATACAAAAAAATGTTTATTTTTTAATTCTCTCCTATTGAAAGAATAATATACAGGGTGTTCAATTAAAAAAAAAAACAATGAAAAATTATTTTATACATATTTTAGAAAGTTTTTTTTGGGACATACTATATGATTTACGATTACCATATTTATAGCAAAGTATCTACAGACCATCTAAAGTAATTACCTAATATAGTTTTCATTTCAGGACTGTTTTTGTATTTTTAATAATTTTTTAAGAAAAGCTGAAAAAAATATATTTTTTTAATTATTAATACATATCTCTGAAACTATAGAAATATATTTACTCATATCTTAGGATTATGTAAAGTAATCTGAAAAGCTAAAAACGCAATAACATACAGGGTATTCCATTTAAAAAAATCATCCCGATCCACTCACACTTTTTTGAGACATCCTATAGAAGTTAAAATATTTTCCTGAAATACATCTTATACTACATACTTTAGGTTTGCACTTAAACAAAACTCCCAAGTTTTATATTCTAGGAGCTACAGATGCCAGACGCACTACTGCCGGACTATACAGGGTGGGCCACTGAAAACTTACAATGGCTATAATTTTTAAACCAAAAAAGATATTAAAAAAATAAAAAATACCGTTTCCATGATATCGAAGCGGAATACATATGACTTATTTTTTGAACCACCCCGACCTACCCCTTAGGCGGCACCCCTACTCACTTGAAAATCTTAAATGGCAATACCCCACTTGTGGCGCCTTTTTGGAAAGCCCATGAAAAATTCTAAACGACGATCATAACGTTTTTAGGGTGAAATTGAAAAACTACCCCTTACACGAAAAATTAGGTGGACATTAATGAAAAAAGTAATTTTTTCAGCATAAGTTACAATTTGGGACCCAGCTAAATGAGGCAAATGAGGCATTTTTTAAACCACCCCGACCCACTCCTAGGTACCATCCCCTCACTTCTAATCTCATCAATGCCATTTTTAAATGTAGATAATATAAAAGGCAACACAAAGATGTTTTTACAGCCTAATTTTGCGATAACGCAAATTCTTCCTTATCATCTATTTTTTTACTTTCAACAAACAGGAATCTTAAACCGGCATATCTTTGCGTTTTTGCACTCTTTTTTTTGCACTTTGCGTTTTGTCTTCTATCGATTTTCAATCGTTTGCAAATTTGGTGGTATTTTAAACGTTTATTTTATTCGCTTATTTGAAAGAAAAATGGTTTATACTGTGAAAGAAAGAATTCAAATAGTTTTTCTTTATGGTGCTGAAGGTATGTGTTATTTGAGAACGGCACATGCTTTCAATGAGAGAAATCCGGACAAAAACGTAAGTCACGTTTATGTTAGAGATTTGATTTTAAAGTTTCAAGAAACTGGGTCGGTAAAAATAAAACAGGGACAGGGCCCAGGGTACTGAATGAAGAAATGCAGATGGAAGTTATTGGTCAGGTATCGGTCAATCCAGAAGCATGAACACGCCAGTTGGCATCAATCACAGGTATACTTCGAACATCTGTCAGGAGAGTATTGAAAATGCACAAATTCCATCCCTACAAAATGAAGATTCTGCAGGAACTTGGCGACGACGATCCAGATAGAAGGATTCAGTTCTATGAACTAATGACGGAGGAAATTCGAAGGGAACCTTCACTTACTAAAAATATTTGTTTTAGTGCTCATTTTTTTTAAACGGAATTGTGAATAAGCAGAACTGCAGATACTGGAGCGATGAGAATCCGCATATTGTTGTTGAAGGACACACACAACATCCCCAAAAGCTCAGTGTTTGGTGCGGAATACTAGGCAATAAAATTATAGGTCCATTTTTCATCGACGGAAATTTGACTGGCAGGGGCGGATACAGGAATTTATTTTAGGGGGGGGCCCAAAATGAAAAGCAATGTAGAATATGCTTTTTAGGGCGCCATTTTTAACCCAAAAACCTAATATTTTACACATTTCAAAGACTTTAGGGGGGGCCCTAACTCTGGTGATGCTTATGTGGAAATGCTGAACAATTTGAGAGAGCCAGCCATTGTAAATGAGGTTGAAAATCAAAGAGATTTGGAAGGAAATTTAACTCTTAATGAAGACCTCATACACTTTCAGCAAGATGGAGCCCCTCCGCATTATTCTATTGTCACAAGGCGGTGGTTGGATAGATAATATCCAAGGCAATGGATTGGCAGAAGGGGTCCAATCGAGTGGCCGCCAAGGTCACCTGATCTCACTCCTTTAGACTTTTTCTTGTGGGGTTACACTAAATCCATAGTCTACAAGACAAAACCAGGTTCGTTGCAAGAATTGCGGTAGAGGATAACTGAAGCTTGTCGAAATATTCCGAGAGAGACTTTCCAAAAAGTGAGAGAAGAATTTGAAAATCGTTTGTATTTTTGTATGGAACAAAATTTTGAGCTCTTTGAACTCTCATTTTGAGCAATTGTTAAAATAAATTATCATTTTAAATTTCACTCAAATTGTCAAACCTACATTTCTTATCACTACTTACCAGTAATTGTTGAAAGAAGACAGAAGTTGAAATCTGTATGACCATCGTTTAGCAATTTCAATTAGCTTTCCAAAGAAGTGTCACAAGCGGGGTATCGCTATCTTGAGATTAGAAGTGAGTGGGTGGCACCTAGGGGTGGGTCGGGGTGGTTTGGAAAATACCTCATTTGCCTCATTAAGCTGGGTCTCAATTTGTAACTTATGCTGAAAAAATCACTTTTTTCATTAATGTCCACCTAA